TGGCCTGGCTTTGATTCGAAGCCATGGACATCCACACAGTAAAAACGACCGTTGAGTTATCTATTCTTGCAATTTGCAAAAAAAACGATATTCTATCTTCAATTGAAAGACGATCGATATAAATTAGTTTAGATTATACTCTGGTCGATATGAGAACTCATGACCCTCTGACTTGTGGGGGCGCAGCAATTAAACCGGTCTTAGTCGAAATGTCTGTATCATACCGGTTCACATAATTTTACATAAATAAGTTAGATAAGACTAGCTTCGGATGGAACCGAGTATTAAAACTAGATTGCTCCAGGAATGTAAAATAAGCTGTTGGTTACTAATTACACCTGAGATTAGTTCTTTCTCGACAAAGGACTCGACATAGCATATTAGAACCAAACCGATGGACAAGAGAGCATACCGACAGACCCTTAACGATAGTCAATACCTTTCAATACAAGATACTTGAGTAATACTGGCATAATATACATGGAAATTTTGTAGTAGATTTGACCTCGACATATTAACGTATTTCCAACATGCAATTAGTCCTCTCACAACACTAACCAACTCTTTTCATGCCCTCTAAAACCAACATATCTAATACCACCGACTCTCTGCTTCTACTCCGTCCAAGTGCAAGCAACACGTTTCCTGGACCACGTGTCAGATTAGATCGTACGGATAATTTGATACTATATTTTGAAAAACATCTTTTTTCGTTATATTCTGAGAGGACTTTAAATTTTCAATCGGCTCGAAATCCAGCCCAACTCTTCCGGAAATTGAAGAATGGCACTATGAAGAATTATATATGTGTAGTAATAAATGGCGTTAGAAAGATGCCATTTCGTACTAAATAAGCTTTCCTGACAATTTTGTGATTGGTTGATTCAGATTTTTTGAGTAACGTTTATGGTCCTGATACCGTTAATCATGCAAATTTTGGTTTCAGTGGAGTGGAGTTGGAGTGGAAGACCAATTGTCGAAAATGTCGATAAAATCATGGACATTGTCGAGTCCGAACGTCATGAAAGCCCAAGAACCAGCTGAATAAGGACACGAAAATTTTTAATTTTCATGCAAAAAGAATAGATTACTCTTAGAAAATACCGAAAAGAATTTTACGCGAAAGCGAATCAGAGTGTGACATCATCAACGATTGAGCCAAATTTAAGTTTTAAATATAATATAAAATTAACCCTTTTATCAATAAGGTTATCCAAGAGATATTTGGGTGCGTTAAATTAACAATCTTTTATGTGCAAACTAGATTTAACTTAACTAAATTCTCTTTTTATCATTAATATTGTACTAATTACCAATTTGAAGTAATGTCCACTCAAAAGAATTTAGAGTCTTATTCTTAGAAGTATAGCCATTAAAAAATCTTTGTACTCGTATTATCTATTTTTGGCTCTCGACATTCATATAATTTTTGATAGGCTCTTCCAACTGCCGGTCTCAGAAATAGACGGCTGTTCATAATTATGTATTAAAACACATAGATACATATTGGCCAATGTTTTTTGAGTATTAACTTTTCTCATAATGAAAACAAAAACATCAAAAAAGTCAAAAGCCACGCGTGTGTCAGTCATTGATATTAACATGCCATCATTTGTAGATATAAACATATGCTCATGTTTGTGTGTATATAGGCATACACTGATTTATGTACTCGTATATGCACCAATGCTTTTTTATAGGTGGTTTGGGGGATCAGGGATGAGGTTCGGTTACCAAGGTATCCGTCTTAGAAGTGCAGTAGCATCATTTTACATTTATTCGTCAAACTCCCAAAAGCGTTTTTGACTTGGTGCGCTTAATGCAAACGAATAAAGAGAGTGAGGGAATGAGGAGGGTTTAACCAAAACGGTGATGTTTGTGATTCTGATTACGAGAAAATCCCGAGCACGTGCACAAAGTAAAGATTTTTTTATGATGAACGCGATGCACGTGCACTCAGGACTTTTGCTGGTACTTGTACGCTACATTATTCGGATATACATATGTGTGTGCATCTGAGTACATTTTGAGTACTTTTAGAATTCGACGTCAGCTCTTCGCTGACGCGAGCAATGCTATTGTGGTCTTCATACTGTTTGTATGGTGTTTATTGTATTACAACCTTTAATTGCACTGCCACTCAGCGGGATTCCTTCTGGTTTACACGAAATATTTGTGGGCACTAATAAAAGCTGCTATTCGATTTTGATTACACAAGCTTTTATCCTGGGAAATTCTTAGTTAGATGGAAATATGATTCTCCGAATTAAGTTACAGCGAAAAAAATCATTTTCCTCTTCTTTAAACTTTACCGATATCTTGTATTATAAATAGATATATGTTTGTATATATAGCTATGCACACGTACAATTTTATACATCTAAAAAAGGGTGAAAAACAGTGTTTTGTGCCGGTTGCTAGGTTTTTATGAAAGGAATTTTCCGAAGAAATAGTATTTGTAGCTAGCCTTAATATTTGGTACCTAAGGAGCTTTCAGCTTCACAATGCTTCACACATGGACCGACTCTTGCCATTGAAATTCTCAATTTTTCGGTACTGCTCTTGGACGAATTACAACTAAAATAAGGAGGGAGATGGTAATTATTTCGTTTCTTCTGCGGTAATTAAAAACCAAAACGACTGATCTTTGAAATCGCTTTTAGGCTAAACTTTAAATTTAGATGAAATCCCGCCATTTTGTATCAAGAAATATTTATTGAGAGTTTTAAAGTAATAAAAGATATCTTCATTCCTCATCATTTCTAAATCTCATCTTAGTTTATAGCTCATGAGCAATTTCGTAGCTGTTCACTGTAAGAGGCAAGTGGAACTGCGATATTCCGCAAACAAAAAAAAATCTATTACGGGTAGGTATGTATGTAAATATATTGGGTGTGTTGAATTATAACAAACGTTTTGTGCTTGGGATAATCCATGTAATGCCAGATGGGGCGCATAAGCTTATGCATGTTACATGCATACAGTACGACGGAAGAGAATGAAATCCTTTTCTTTTGACATTAAAATTTAAACGCTATTATGTTTACACATACACGTATGTATGCATATATTAATATATATGTAAGCTTGTTAACATGCGAAAAAATACATAGACTTTTTTGTGTTAAGCTAGTTTTATATTAGTATTTTTAAGGTGAAATTCTCACTATTTATTCGCAACTACATATGCAGAAATTCACCTATAAGAGAAATAATAACAATTTACGAACCCATGTCACTGCTACATTCTATTACTTTTAAGCAACTTTGACTGTGAGGCATACGAAAACTAATACCGAGCAGGTCAATATTGAGCTGATTTGTCCGTGTTCATCTGTTGTTCAGTTTTTGACACAATTTAACCAAACTTGGTAAGCAGATATATTATTTGTCGGAACCCGTAAATTTAAATAAATATTGATACAGAAAAACATCGAAATCGCGCTGGAAACAGCATTCGCTAATATGAAGAATAAAGGAGTTATTTATTATTTATTTATTTCAAAAGCTTTTATTACAATAAAAAATTATAATTTAGCTGAGTAGCCATAGCAACTGTATTAGTTCACAACTGCCTAAAACGCTCCCAACTCAATAATCTTAATGCATTTATTGGTTGAAAAGCTTGCATTTGAAGGGATAGGATTTATGACAATTAGTGTATTTTTTATCCTTCCTCAACGACACGATTTCGATCGGATTTACTATATATTATATACCAGTTTCCAGTATTTTTTCGATTCGATTCGATTACATGATATCTAATTTCGAGTTTGAATTGAATTTAAAATTCAATTAATATAGAACCTTTCGCACAGATGGAGATTACTAAAAAAAAAAACAGGTAAACATGATTACATGTTTTTCGGGAAACTATTGTATATACGATCTTAGAGTATACGGTTCAATGTTCAATTAAATTTTTATAGAGTTGGAACCTTTGCAAATCACTGGCCATAGTTGGAAGACATGACCTCCGCATCATAGTACGCACTGCTAACACCTCGGCTAATGTGGCTAAATATCGCGTTAATAAAAATTTCATTTTATGTCAAAACTCGAGCTATCCTGGTTTACATATTGCAAAAGTTTGAACAAGCTCTACACACCTAACAACGCATTTGATTCTAAGACAATACAAATATTATATTTGTTCTTTTGAAATTAGTATTTCTCCCTTGATTCGTTCCTTCTCTGAAACTTACTTACAAACATGTTTACAAAGTTATATCCTCCGCTGGTGGTTTTTAAAATAGTTCACACCGGCGATTCGGTAGCTACTGGCAAACAAAGAATCTAAAAATCGCTAAAAATTAAACACCATCAAATGTGACTTTGATGCTAGCAGAACAATTATGTGTGCATATGCATGTTTTATATACGTATATGTATACGAGGTCTGCTCAAAAGAAACGGCGAATTTTGGATTTTCGCTGACTGTGTAAACTCGATTATGGAAATGGCTTTTTTTGTGTTAGTACACATACGGTTATCATATGTGCTTGCTGTTGACCACTGCAAAGGTAGTCATTTTTTATGTGTGCTCTTCGATATTTAACTTTTCACTTCCATTGAGATTATTGAGTTTTGGTTTCGACGTCATAACCATATACCCACGTTTTGTCACCAGTAAAGACCCTTTCGAGCAAACCTGGATCATCTTTGACGTCGTTCAGTCACTTTGAGCAACGAATTTCTTTTGTTCAAAAGTCATCATTTCCACTTGTCTAAAATGTAATTTTAGAAGCATCTCTTCTAAGTTCGTCCTATAAAAATATAATATATTTAAATACTATTTGAAAAAGAAATTTTATAGAAAGAAAAAAGCTTTCAACAGATTTGTAACATTTCTCAGTATGCAGAACGTTTTTTTCGTTTTATACAATTGCAGTAAAATTCAATCACTGATGAAAAGAATACTGAAAGGTAAAAGAAATACTTATGCACAAACCTATGTACATGAACGAATGCTTGGTAAATCGCTTTAAGACAACGAGCATACTTGCGCATACCCCTTTGTTTTATTTACTATGTAAACATGTATCATATAACTCTTGTACTCATTGGTTATTAACAGAATTTGTGTTTGTCTCACATATTAACATGTAGGCTTTAAATAGTCAAATGAACTCGAATATAAACAATACAAAGAAATTCGGCAGTTCATTAAATTAATATTATTTATCCGAATCGATTCGAAAAAGATATTACCAGTTACCGTTTGGTTTTGTTGTTGATTTTTTTCTTGCAGTGACCCCTAGGTTTTTTAGATTACAGCTTAATAGAAAATAAAGAACCAAAATAAGCCTTCAATATTCATATTAAATCTTCAAACGATTCAAGCTACAATTGAATTTTCACATCAAAATTTGTAAACGAACCAGTTGGTTTAACAGCTTATTGATGTACAAAATATACCGAAAATCGATCAAATTGTGAAATTGTGACGTCTCCGCTTTTCTAATTTTCAAAAAAGAAACAGAAGAAGAAAGTTTGGAAAAAATGTAATTTTTAATATATCCGTTTAATCATTGTAGCCAGGCATCTGCATTTTTGTACTAATAGTTTATTTATCTATGTATGCATATACCAAACAATGGCTCTCCGACTCTTACTGGCGGAGCATCTGAAAAAAAGTAAGATTTCAAATTAACCAATTTTTCATAGGACATGAAAATATGCCTTGATATCAATACATATGTATGGACATTCAAATAAGAATGGAAGGTAGGTGAAGATCGGCGAAATAAACGAGAATAAAGAGATTTTGTCACTAAAATTCGTTTGAAGGCAATAAATATGTGTGTATTTGGAATTTGTCGCTTCCGTTTGCAAATAACGTGTGTTTGCTACTAAATATTGAATTGTGTATCGGTTTGGCTTCTGCAGACTCGCAAGAAATATATTAGTCGCACATAAATAACATTTATCCAGAAAAAAACCATTACTTGACCCAAACTCAAATAGAAATACTGTACCTTAATTGGCCAGACAGGGCAAACGGTGGCATCAAAATATTTAAAAAAGCTTGAATGAATTCTGCCATTGATTCCTAAGCAGATTTCTTTGGAAACTATTTGAACTGATTGAATTAAAGAGGATTTTTTGGCGTGCTTATTTTAGATTCTATTTATTTAAATTAATTTAACTGCGAAAGATGTTGTATTTTGTATTCTAACCGTTGAGAATAGCTACAGACATACTTGGAAATGCTAAAGGTAGCAACAACTGATCAGTTCCCTTTGGTAAGAGCATGAATGAATATGTACGTAATACAATTACGCCTAGCTCTCATACAACAGCTAAGAACACTTCTCTAGTCTGATGAGTGATAGTGCAAATGTTAGACGAGAAGATGGCAAGACCTCAAACCCTCTCCGGAAATATTTCGAAAATTTTTTGGATTTGACATCTCTACAGTTCTGCTTAACGTTTTACATAACTCAATTATTACTATAGAAACCTATTTATTAACATAATTCATTTATTACTGAATTTGCTTAAATCAACCTAACATAAAGTATTATATAATAGTATACATTAGTATCTTAAAAATTATTTAAAAATGTGTTAGCTCTAGCTATCTTAGAACCACTTTCAAACTAAACCATGGAGCTTTCATTAGGAGCCGAGAACATCCCTTCGCTGCAGTCGGGAATTTCTGGATGAGTTTAACTAAAGGTCAAATAATGAGTTGGGTTGAGGTATGGACTTCGTTCTGCTCCTTTCGACTTCAGTAGGATACCAACGTCTGTTTGCGTTACGAATGTACCTGGATACGCCGGTTACCACTGGTATTTTCTCAATATCAGATACTCAGTATGATCAAACAGTTGATAACCATAACGAGTACTTTAAATGCCGTCGCCAGGGTAGATCATCGAAAACGAATGTTCAAGAAAACATAATAACATCTATTATTTCTTGTATTATATTTTGCGGATCCGACGACATGACGTTCTGAGGCAAGAACTGCGGTGAAAAAATTGTAAATGACTATACAAGCTTGGAATCGACGCTGGAGACAATGTTTTAAAAAAACATATGGAGCATCAGTCGAAATTCAAAATGAAATCATCAGCCTTTGTGGTGAGGTCCCATCCAAAGTGTATACTATTACTTCAAAATTAAGACGCATATAGCGTTATAGCAGATGAAAATGCTAAAAACGACGTCCAAGAATCGTTTGTCGGGTTTGTGGAAATAAAAACGTTGGTTGCAAAATCGATAGCATATGTTATTGATGACTTCTTAGCTAAAGCAGATCTCAAACAAGTAGATGACAAATGCGTTCGGTTAGGATTAGATGGCTGCTCAACAACGTCTGGAAAGGAAGGCGGTGTGCAGGAAATCTTACGCAAGAAATACAAGAAACCTTTATATTTTTATTCCTCGTCACATAAACTAATTTTTAGTTATCAATGCCCTTGATGCACTGGCAGAAATTTGGAACGCCATTGGAACAACGAGAAACATGATCACCTTTTTCAGCGATTCTGTTTTAAGAAGGAAGCTTATTCCCAATATATCCAAATATTGTGAAACAAGTTGGAGTGAAGAATTCAAAGCCATCAAAAGTTTCCAGTAAAATTTCAGTGATGTAATGGAAGTATTGCAAAGCTTGCCAGGTGACGGCAACGATGCTACCCGAAATAATGCTTGCCTGCTTTATAGCGCTGCCTTCAGATTAAGATTTATTATGTGTCTTACGATAGTTGCTAAATACTCGGCGATGCCGGAGCCGGTAGTCAATGTGCTTCAATCAACGGAGAATCGGATGCGGTCAAGTCCTCGAAGCACATTAAACGCATAATACAACTGTCAAGAAGCCATCGAGATGATCCTGATTATATAACGGATAAAGTATTTATTATTCCTCACTTGGACTCAATTATTATCTCACTCGAAAATCGATTTCCCGATGAAAATAATGAATTATTTTCTCTGTTTTATTTATTATATAATTGGCGCTTTATAACCGCTGAATTGATTTTCGGCTGAGCTCCTCCTCCAATTTTTGGTTTTGCGTATTGATGTTTTTACTACAAATTGAGGGATCTAAAGTTTATACTAAGCCGCCTCCGAACGGATGATGGTTTTTTTTATGTAGAGTCTTTATTTCATGTCAGATAAACATACATACACTCGGAAGGGTTGCATGCCCTCAAATCGTGATCCTTAATTCGTTTGCGGGGGTCATCAACAGAAAGGGAGTATCCCATCCGAGATGTTGTAAAGTTTTTTATGGGCACAATCTGGCTAGACGAGTAAGTTTATAGTTTATATAGTGAGCCGCTTGCTTAAAGACCGACGCCCGTTCGCAGCCGCACCTCTGGCGAACAGACGCTGCAATCAAACTCCAGCAGACCCTTAAACCGAATAACTCGGAGTGACTCCACTGCAGCTTACTTTCTCATTAGCCGTGACCCAATACACACAAGGGTTGCTCACGTTTCCAGTGTGCGCGACGTGGACGAAAGAAAAGGAATTGAGTATAGCCTCGCAACTGTAACAGCATACCCAGAAGCTTGATTACACCCCATTACACATATGTGCATACAAATACGTAGTTATCAATAATCTAACAATCTCACAGAAAGTTTACTATTTTGCTTTACTTGAAATCTTATTAGCACTTTTCGTTATTATTTACCTATCACATCTTTCACAATATCAATTATAAAATATAAATTGAACCAAATACAGAAAACTTTGAAATTGTGTGGCCGGGCCTGCTAAATTTCCATAATATTAAGTCTTGGTCTGCTCCGCGACCATCCGCACGGTAGGCTAACCACTTGGCTAATGCGGTCACTTCTCCGTCAAATTGTAATAACTGTATTTAACAAACTACAATATACATATGTATGTTTAACATGAAGAATAGCTGGGACGCTACTTTTCGATTCCACCTTCCCTACTCGTTGTTATTGTAGAGAGTTTGAGCTGGTTGTCATTTCAATCGCGTTAAATACTTGAATATCATGGATTTCATTATCTCTGATTTGTTCCGCTATATGCACATATGTATATATGTATATATATATATATATATATATTGTACATATTACAAATATGAGTTTCTATAAAGTTTATGCCATTCATTCAACGAACTAAAAAGCATGTCAGTGTCTAATAAACTTATATTTTCTTTTATTGTTACCTTGCAGCTCAACAAATACTTTATTTTCACCATGTCATGGTTTTTGTGTATTTGTGTATAACATATTTTTTTATGGACAGGTAATCACAACAGGAAATAATGGAAGTAGAAACAGTAGCAAGAAATACATTTACACATTTAAATGGGTATTGTACCTACATATACATATGAATAGTATTTTTGGATACGTTTTTTACACCTAAGTAAATAAAAACAACGCGTCTAAAAAACCATTTGTAGTGCTTATTTGTGGACAGTGTCGTCATACCAGCAAGTGTCAGGATAGAACAATCGCGCTGAGGGACATGTACATTAAGATCTATCCTCTCTTAAGGGTTAGTATTGTTTATCGCCCTTTAGCGTATGCAAGCTGATCTATTTACCAAAATCAGGACCTATCTGGAGCACCACAAGTAGATTCTTCATTCATGATTTAATTGTTCGTTCTGAAATTGAGATAAATTGGTATAAAAAGTAATATTTTATTTAAAACTTCTGTTTATGCACGGGTCAACATGTATGTATATGCATCTGGAACATTGACATCATATTCACCAGGTATTTTTACACAGAAGCTCTAAGTGAATATCTGTAATTAACAGCCAACAAAGAGAGCAAATTTAAATCCCTACAAAACTGCTCCGATCTGCTATTTCATCTATTGATTCCAGTGATAATGAGCTTATTCTTTTCAATAAAAATTACAATTGCCTTCAAATAAACAGACAAACATGTAATGGAAGTGAAAATTGCCTGTCATCGCTGAACACGAATAATTCTCAGCGAAGGTATACATGTACATATGAATGTATTTCCTTTTCTGTGGTTGGTGTACGCACATGTACATGTGTACGTGTGTACGGGTATCTTCTTTTACTTACGCATATAACAATTATTTATTGAAATATTTTTAGAAAGCGACATTTGTAAATAAATTCTAGTTATATTTGTTTTTACAGGGTGTTTTCTTTAATGACAAATACATTTAAGTGCCGTTGTTGGTTTCTTGTATACGAGTAAAATAACCTTAAAAATGGGTCCAACGTATGAATGATAGTAAAGCAAAGCTGCTATTAGCTCTGTTCGGTAAGAAATTCAGTTCAGTAAGTAAAATGTTTTACCCTCCCAAAGAAGGAAATTTACTGAGTTTTCATTGAACAGGACTCAGCTAGCAAGTTATACAACAGCTGTTTACTTTAGCGGTTACATTTGAATCCGTTAATTTATACAGTTTATTTCCTTTTACTTATTTATAATGCTTTTAATTTATAATTTTATAAAAAATTTAATATACTTCCTGAATCTTAAGCTTGCTTGGCAATGTTTTGCGGCGAAAGTCATGTGATCGAAACTGCTTCCTAGTAAATTGGAGGAATCCACAACTAACTTTTAGTCTGGATGGGCGGACGATGATTTAACTCCACTGAAATCACAATTTCATTTAACGAGTGCAGTTATTAATATTAATTTCGTTTAAAACAATTTTCGTTTTGTTGACAAAAATGCAACCATATGACCACAAGTCAACTGTTTATCATATCCCAGCATGAATTTGTAACTTTCTCTCCAAGCTAAACGTCAACATTTACGCTCTTTCGTTATTGATTTTACAAGGTTTTTGCCTCACCTATCGTCGTACAGTAAACTTCCGTACCAATTGAATTAAATTCTGAATGAAATGTATGAATGAAATTTAACGCCGTATACTAGTTAGTATAATTAGTTAGTTAAGCTCCTTCATGGAAAATGTTCGACAAATGTTTTGCATTTTTTATGCCCAACTGTACTGTATACACTGAGATATTATTGTTAATAACAGCAAAATAAGGCATAGTTATAGCCCACAGATATTGATTTTAAGAAAAAAAATTAGTGATGACGAATTAATTCGCATCCAGTTGAAAGTTAAAGGGATTGTTGGAAACAAAAAGTCTTCATCGATGAATAGCTTGTTTTTCGAAACCATGTACGAAATGCTAAATCAGATAGGTAAAGCCTACACTGCTGATGGTAGAGACCAGAAACGGAAGGGCCATACCAAGGTTGCGTAACAAGGGCTACCGCCGAATGGTGCTTTTGTTTGAGGGTTTGAACTAAAGCAAGGACATACTGGAAACAATTTTGCGTAAGTACCTTGTCCTCATCTGAGCCAAAAAACCGGAAACTATTAGCTTATTATCTACTATCAAATCGTAAGAGTTTAAATAGTTTAAATTGCGACTATATAATCTTGGTTTTCACCGAAATTTGACTTTGAAGTTTTTAGAGATGACCGTTTAAATCAAAATGGTGGCGGAGTACTTATTGGTGTTCAAACTGACCATGCTGCTGAAGAGATTCATTTTGTGAAATCAGAAGAGATGCAATTTCTTTGTGTTAATCTACGTTTAATTAATAAAAATATTTCTATCGTCGCCAGCTATATCTCTGTTAAGATCATTATTTTTCCCTTATATTCATTTTAAAACATGTGCCAATTTATCGTATTTGTAGCTAAACTCGGGATAATGCTCATGATTTCCTTAATGAGCTTTCGGGTTTGGGTCTATTTCAAATAAGTATGGTCCATAATACGTTTGGGAAGAGTTTGGGTCTAATATTTGGGAAGTTTCATCAATTCCTTTAAGTCGCTGTGATCATTTCGTTTTACCCGAAGATGGTTATCACCCCTGGGGTGTAATGGAGTCAAGTCAAGCTTTTGGGTATGTTGTTACGATTGCGAGACTATACTCAATTCCTACTCTTGCGTTCACGTCGCGTACCCTGGAAACGTGAGCAACCTTTGTTCAAGACTAATGGGTTGAGGGTGATCGACTTCGCCGAGGCATGAAATGTGGTTGTCTGTAGTACTAGATTTCAGTACAAAAAAATACATCAAGCTACTTGACTGTCCCCCGATCGAAGAACACAAAAGCCAGATAGATCATGTTGTGATAGACTGAAGTCATTTCTCCAGTGTTCCTGATGTGGGTACCGATGACCAAACATTGACTCTGATCATTATCTTGTTGCAGCGAAGATACGCATGCGCCTCTGTATATCGAAGAACGCCCGTCAACAAGCACAAGGAAAGTTCGCCGTTGAAAAGCTGCAATCACAACAGACTCTCAAACGATTTTCTACTCGACTTGCACTCTTGCTCTCTGAGAGCACTCATCAGCTACTCGGTATAAGAGAACTGTGGGACGGCATCTCAAGCTCCCTACGTACAGCTGCAAATGAAACTATTGGATTTCGTAAAGGTCGCAAAAACCGCTGATACAATGACTATTGCCGTATCGCAGTGGAGAGAAAACAGACTGCCTACCTCGCAACCTTGCGATCGACTACAACACCTGCGAGTTGAGATAGATACCGAGAGATGAAGAGGGAATCAAGATGCATCTGCGGACAAAAAAAAAAAAAGAAAAAGGCCGGAATGCGTGAGTATAAAGCTTTGAGAAGCTGGCCGACAATTGTAATGATCGAGAATTCCGTCAGAACACGTGGCGGTGAAGACCTGACTACATGTCATGTATCAGCCACTTTGCAGAATATGTTCGGATGAAAGCATGCCCGACAGTTGGAATTTAAGTGTGCTCTGGCCAAGGTCCTCTCGAGCTTATTGTGTGAAATTATTTTACTTTTCGAAATATTATACTGGTGTCTAACCATGGAATAAGCACATAATCAGAAATTTTGCCAGACTTTTTACAGTGCTTATTATTGTTTATTCTTATTTTTCAAGCTTTTCAATTCATTATTAAACCATAAAGCATTTTTAGCACTTATCGGTTCATTTGTTACAGTAACAAGTAAGAAATATATGACATGAATTGTAACATTAGTTCAAATCCGAAGTTATTCTATAGTTTTGTTAATTCGAAACGAAAGACTTTTGGGTTTCCATCATTATGAAAATTTCGAGTTTTCACCATCGTTTTTCAAATGGATTTCTTTGTGCTTGATTAGTAGAAAACAAAAATTAATTTTTAACGTTCTACATCACGTGAAATAACAGTAACATCTAGTGTTCCGCAAGGCAGTCACATCGGCCCCTTAGTCTCCCTTATATTCATCAAAGATCTTCCAAATATTGTTATTTATCCATCCATTCATGAATGCAGATGATGTCAAGCTCTTTAAATCAGTTCATTCTTTTGAAGATAGAGAAGTTCAAACTGGATGCGAACAATAACCTGAATTCTTACAAATATCGCTTACGGCTGATTAATCTACCAATACTCCATAGTCATAAAAAGATGCTTGGAGTTTTATTTTTAACTAAATTTATAGTGATGTTTCCCATCCCTTTAAGATCTTTGTGTAACGACTTTAATACACATTTCCTATTTGCTGAGTGCTCTAAATAATTAAATAAATTTCTTCTCCTATTTTCCTCGAAATATTAAAGCAGCTCATGAATAAATCGTTAACTAAAACTGCGACTTACCGCGATCGGTTTCGGGTTCAGAGCAGTCTGGACTGTCACTGGTTTCGGTCGCCGGGCTTTGGATTTTTCGATGGTCCCTACGATGCGCCTCTTGGTCGGTTGGGTGAGAGGTGCATAACGCTAGGTTTGTAGTAAAAAAATATAGTAGTACAGTTCAAAGTAGAGTAATACTTTGTTCAAACCGACATTTAATACGAGTTTTTGTAGAAAAAAGTGGTTTTCGTGTGGAAACTCTTGTTTAACCACATAAAATCTATCAAACGAAAACACATCGAAATTCCTGAAAACTACTTCAAAACCCACGATCCGCTTATTCCAATTAGTGTGAAAGCAAAGTACTTAGTGAAATAAGTGCAAAGCACACTACGTATCACTTCTGAGTTCTGATATTCAGAGATATGGAATTGTTCTGGTTTTAAATGTTCTTGATTCCTTCAAAGCATCAAGCCATTTATTATTTATTTACACATCGTTTTCTTTGTGTTTTTAAAAGAGCATAATTTGAATTTTTCTCTCTTCAACTTTATTTTACGTTGTGAGGATATGGCTTTCATTAGTTTTTTCGTGAGCCGAAGAACATAAAACCCCAAAATAATGGCACGTTAACGCCTGAAATTTCCTCTGACATTTTGTAAATTAGAGAACAATTTAAAGTGCTTGTTTAAGCAACGAACTTTCAAGTATTTGAGAGTCGATACATCCACCTGGGCTTCTGACACTAATATATGGGTGAAGCGATATCTAAGAAACTGATTGTGTGAAGTAACGCATTTTTATTAATATTTGAATTTCACGAGAAAAAGTGAAGAAGTGGAGGACCCACTGAAACGAAATGGTCCCGTACAATGCACAAACTGTCAGGTATTTGGTTCACTATTCTACCAAATGCCTGATCTAAAATCTAAGCTTGCTCAAGGTATACGGAGCCAACTCCCATGTACTGCTTCCATTTCGGCCATCTCCCAACCTACCCAGCTCAAATTCTGGCGCAAAACAAAATGCTTCAAGCCCTGATGACCAAAAAATGAGTGAGCTCAGAATTTCTTTATGGTGTAAACTAGCATAAATTAGCACTCTAATGATTTTTATAGATTCACGACTTTTATATCCCTGTATTTAAGTTGTACAATACTAATCACCCAAAATGGCAAAGCACGTACCGGAACCGCTTGTAGCTTTTTGGTGCAAACACATAACCTTTACGTTAAGGCCAAAAGTATGCCCTACTGTCAAGCTCAACAATGTGCCTATCTCACAAGCTAACGAATTCTTGGTATTCACCAATTACACCATTAACCTGAAGACGACACATTTCCGCCAAAAAGATGCAGCTGAAGCTTAAATCATACAGCTGATATTGGCTTTTAAGCAGAAAATCTGAGCTCAGCCTTGAAAACAAAGTCAATCTTTATAACGCGACTATAATACCGATTTAGATGTTATTTGTTATGGGGTACAACTTGCGCGACATATATAGGTATAATACAAAGATTCCTGTCGAAAACATTGATTTGCGTCTTGATGTTTTTCTAGCAAATGGAGGGACTAACAGTCTATACTAAGGCTGATAGTTTTTTTTTACGAGGTGGACATTCCCTACCGAGGGCGACCGCAATTAGAAAATTTTTACTTAATTTTTTTTTAAATTAATATTCCATAGCTTTTGGATGTTGGTGGCACCGGGATATGAACCCGAGCGCTCCGAATGTTGGTACCGCGGCCACCAAATAAAGAAATACAAATATTAAAAAGGAAAAAAATTTAAGTTTTTATTTAGCATCTACTAATGACATTAGTTCAGTGGACTACGATCCTTTAAAATTCTAATAATCCATAGAATATCTTAAGAAAAAATTTTCA